TGAGCTGTTGAGAAGGCTGGCTGGAGCCAGGGGTGGTGCATGAAAGGAGATGTCCAGCTTGAGTCTTTTGAGCTGACAGTGCTCTCAGTCACTGGCCTGCAGCACACTGCTTTATTCCTGCTTGAGTTTGCTCTTGGCTGGGCATTTTACCTTGGGGTACATGGTTACTGCAGTTGCACTGGCACCTAACCAGGAGGCTCGTTTGTTACAAACAGGAAGAAACCACTTGGAGAATGGGCACCCAGAGTTGTTTCAGCAGCTCATGTTGTGGAAAGGAGACCTGAAGGGCACCCTCCAGTCAGCTGCAGAGCGTGGGGAGCTAACGGACCAGCTGGTGGCCGTCTCGCCCATGGGTATGTTCGTTCTGCTGACAGGGATAAGCAAGTGGGATGAGTTGCCAGATAGCCTGGCGAGAGCTGAACATGTCCTGCTTGTAACAATGCTATAACAGTACTTAGATACAAAACAAACATGCCTAGACAGTGACAGAGAAGCAAATGTAAGCACCCGCATAAATAGATGGGGTGGGCTGGGAGGGAAGAAAGATGAGCAAATTCCTTTTTGACTCGTATGAGCTGTCATCTGTTTCCAAGCACAGAAACAAACATTCCTCTAACACGTTACAGCCCTTTAGGTCATTTGCTGTTTGCTTAAATACATTTGGGAGTGCTGTCCAGGCCCTTGGTTCATAGAATCATAGGAAATGAGGATTGGAAGGAACCTCAAGAGGTCACATCTAATCCAACCTCCTGCGCAAACCAAGACCATCCCCAATTACATCATCCCAGCCAGGGCTTCCTTTTGTATCAAAATATTGCCCTAGCCCATTGCTTATTAAAGAAGCAGAAAAGGGCTGTGTGTGGAAGAAGTTGATGTGTTCAGATGTTAGCCTCAGAGAATCGTTCCTGGTTGCAAGTCCTTATCCTTTAGCTATGCTACGTTTTGTATTCTAGCTGGATATCAGGCCTGGGTGTGGACGGTAGAAGCCTATGCAAAACAACTGTGCTTCCAAGAACAGTACATCAAGGCTGCCTCACATCTTCTTTCCATCCACAAGGTGTATGAGGCTGTGGAGCTGCTGAAAGTGAACCATTCGTACAGGTCACTTGCATTCCTTACATTTCTGATGTTTTAGTGCAGATAAGTGGGAGCAACCAAAATAGTCTGATGTCTCTCTTGGTTCTGGTTATCTGGCATAGTCCTGCAGTGTGCAAGTTGTAGACACTGCCAGAGTTTACAGAGAACCAGTCCGCTTGGGTCCAACTGCACTTCTGTCTGCATCTATTTACCTACCTCCCTTTAAGAATACATGCATTTTCTCCAGCCCCTTCCAGTTACAGTAATTTCTTTCTGTGGTATACATTCAGCCTTCCTTTATGCTTAATCACTGCTTCTCCAGATAGTGAGGCAAGAGGCTTTTCCCTTGGTTCATGTTGGCCTTTCACCCGATGCATTTGCAGATTGAAAGATTCAGGGACTGGAGCACAACCTGAAATTGATTGACTTGCTGTTCCTTTTAAATGCCTGGATTTTGTCCCCTTTTCAGGGTGTGTCCTGTCTGCAGTTAAAGATATGACTGCAGCTCAGGTAGACATACCTGACTTAGCTAGTTCAGGTACTGTAGTGGCAGCAGCCTGGGGTTCAATGCAGGCTGCAAGGCCTTCTTGGGACCCTAGACAAATACTTGGATGAGCCAGGACAGGCTGAGCTATGTGTTGCCACAGTTACTGCACTGTCATTACTAGCTAGTTGGAAGCTAATTTAGACACGCCTGTGCAAGCTGCAGTTACACCTTTGGCTGCAGTGTGGACCTACCTGCTGACTGCTCAGCAGTGAACAGGACCATTTTCATACTTGTTAGCTACTGTACACATGACAAACACTAGTAAATAAGAAGTTTCCCACTGCCTTACACAGCTGGCCAGGTACAGTTGTGCTTTTTTGGCTTGCTTGGGAACATCGGGTATTTGCAGCTGCTGGAGGTGAGATTCTAGATTTAATCAAAGCTGTCGCCTCTGACCAACCAAGGCACGTTTTCTTCTGAAACCCTGTCTGTTTTCTTTTGAAACCCAGGAGAGACTTCTGCAGGAACTGTGGGCCTGTTTGTAGGTGACCCAGTAACATTTTATTTCGGTTCCTCTTACATCAGGGAAGCGGTTGTAATTGCCAAGGCCAGGCTGCGTCCAGAAGATCCAGTCCTGAAGGATCTCTACACCACCTGGGCAGCGAACTTGGAGGAAGATGGCCATTATTCCATGGCAGCCAAATGGTAAGTGTTGGCAGGAAAGAGTCACTGCGATCTTCATGAGGGAAATGAAGAGCACTCTGTCTTTTCTGAAGGTTGTTCAGAATAATGGCTAAGAATTGGAGCAAACTGGAGGGTTTTTAGAAGGTTTAGCCCAGAGGAACCACCGCGCCCCCTGCCTCCATCTGTCTGAAGTTCCTTGTAGTCTTTATTCCCATGATATCTGAGCCCCTCACAGTCTAGATCCTCACAACACTGAACAAGAGATGCAGACTGATTTCCTCTTGTGTCTGAGTGAGAATAGAACCCAAGTTTGCTGAGCTTCTGACTAGCATCCAAATCACCAAGCTGTTTTTCTTCCATTTCTGGACTTTTCCAACTGGATATCCTAAAACTGAGGCACCTCAAATCACTACTCACTTCAGGAAAATGTTGGCCAGGTTCCAGGATGGGTGGGTGTGAACCTACCAGCTTTGTCAGTTGGTGCTGATTTCAGCTCAGCGCTCACTGAAGAGTGAATGCCAAGAAAGGATGCAACTGGCACCCCCAGAGAGGAATGCTAGGGGTGCGCAAAGCTAATGTTCTTCCTCCAGAAGCTGCTGATTTCACTTCTTATCTGAGTGATGTGTGGGGTCCATGCCATGAGCCATTTCCCACCAGCATCCCAGACCTCTACAGGAGGTTATGGGTTTGCAGGCTCCTTTTGCAGCACTGCTTCAGATCAGCTGCCATCTGTTCATCATAGATCTTTTGAAAAGGATTGGTGACAGCAGCTTTCTGAATGAAGCAGTGGGAAATGTATTTCATTCTGTCTGCGGTGTTGGGCAGAAGCTGTTTGTACTACAGTGTAAAATATGAGCCCTCAGGTCTAATGTGATGCTAGCTCACTTTCCTTTTCTCTAGTTACCTGGGGGCTTCATCTCCCTATGATGCAGTGAAAGTGCTGGCAAAAAAAGGGGATGTGGCATCCCTAAAAGCTGCTGCGGAGCTCGCTCTGAGAGCTGGGGAGAAGGATCTGTCGACCACGTTATCTCTCAGATGTGCCCAGGAGTTGGTGTCTGCCAGAAACTGGGTTGGAGCACAGGAGGTCCTTCAGTGGCAGGGAAGCCTACTGGTGAGTCTGCCTCCCCCTTCTCTAGCAATACACCCCTCATGAACCACATAAGATGGCCTGTATTATAACCACCAACAGATATTGCTGTGAGCTGCCTGGAAACTCTGTCCGAGGTGCTCACGGATTGAAATGCTTAGCTAGAGGTTTATTTCTACAGTGTTGTGAGCAAGGATGGAACTTGGCCAACATGAGATGCAGTTTGGAACCTGTGCTTATTAGATGGCATATGATGAAGTCTTAACAGGATGGGCTGGGAAGGAGAGCGAAGCGAGCATGCAGGGGTGGAGAAGTGGAGCATTTTTGCCTTTCCTTAAGGAGGATTTGTCACTGTTAAACTGGCTCCTAAACTTTGGGTTTTAGAGGGATGCTGTGATTGGGGGGAGTTGAGATGTGGCTGTACCTGAGCAAGGATCATCAGGAGAAGGAATATGTGGTTGCAGATCTACCCAAAAGCATACACTCTAGTCCTGCCAGGCATGTTGGGTTTGAGCTCGGAGCGAGCAGGTGGAATTCTGTTCCACAGGTCAGGCTTCTTCTGGCTTTATGTTCTGTGGATCCATGACTCAGCCTGCAGCAGCTGTACATGGAGCAGTCTGCAACAAGTGACACCTGAGCCTTTGAGGGAAAGGTTTCAATTTTATCTGCTTGTATCACTAAAGGCTCCTCTTTCTGCGCTAGACACAGCTCAGTGTTCTGTTTCTGTTTGCAGGGACAGAGGCTAGTTTTCTGCCTTCATGAACTGCTTTGCAAGTGCCTTGGTGAAAGAAATCTAGCTGAGCGTAAGAGCTCCTCCCCACCATGTTACCACAGCTGGGATGTGAGGGACAAGGACTCCTTCCTTGAGATGGTGACTGAGGTGTGGCAGAGCGCATTTGGAGTGAGCACTGTGGATCAAGCCAAGACCGTGTGGAAGCAGCTGCATGGTATTTTGTATCCTCCTGCTACCACCAACACCCATCCCAAGCAGGTAATTTATCCTGGTTCTGTGCACTAGTTGGCCCTTGCTGAAGGTGTGAATGGGGCTGGATTTGCATAGTTGCCTGAGGTAACAGCCATAGCCATTCACAGGTGCCCTGTACTCACTCTGAATGAAAAATGAGTTTTGGTCAGAGTATTAGCAGGTGATTAGCAGTTGGCAGCTATGCAGTGCGGCCCAGCCATCCCTGCTTGGGACAAAAACTGGCATAATAGCTGATGTTAATGTTGCTGAGATGTTTTTGCCATGGCATTCTAGCAGACTGGGCTCACACTGACCATTGTGCAAGCCTGTAAGAAGCCTATAATTATGCTCCACAGTCTGAAGAGCCTTCATCCCCTCAGCTGAAATCAGCTGTGTAGCTTGTAGCAATGGTTAAGCGGTGTATTTTGGGGAAAGCTTCTGGGTTTGGCACTGCAGATTGCCATGAGGCACAAAGGGCTCCCAGGTTAAGCTGCTGACAGTGATTTGTGGTGCCTCTTGTAGCTGCTCTTCCACATCGCCCACGATCTGACCCTAGCAGTGCTGAGCTACCAGACTGCTTCGTGGGAGGAGGCAGTGACTGCTCTTCTCAGTGCTGTGACCCGCAGCTGTGATGCTGGCAACTTCACTCTTCTGCAAGAAATCTGCAGCCTCCTCCTTCCCAAAGGTAAACCTCCTCCTTTGTTTGCTCTGTGCTAGCAGTTGTGAGTGCATGGTTCTTGAACTCTTTTCCTAGCACGGTTTCTGGTTGCCTCTCAGGCTCACCTCCTGGCTGCACCCTACTACTATAATTGGATTTCTCCAAGGGCTCACTAAATGCTGCTAATGCCATTTGGGGCCATGACCTTTTGCATGGGAACTGCTGGACAACCCTTAATCCCCTTAGCTGGGTTCTGGGAGGTTTTAGTAGGGTTCAAGGAGATGTTCCCATGGACAGTGAGAGCATTCAGTCTCACTAGGTGGGGTAGAACGCTGTACTGGCAGGATCCACCCTACTTGCTCCACTGCCTGCCTGGGGCTCAGAAGAAACCCCTGCTCAAACCAGGTTGTGCTCTGCTGGGTGTCTTGCACTGGTATTAGTTACCTGTGATGGACCTTGGGCTGGATAGCCCCTCAGTGTGATCTGCTGTGGTAGTTCCTGTTGTGTGGGGGTCAGTTTCAAAGGCTGGAGGTTGCTGGTGATGTGTTCTTCCCTGCTCCCCTGCACTACACAGCCAAGTGCTGTTGGACTCTGGAATCCTGCCCTCACACACAACTTTGCAGAATATTACTCTGTTGGGCAGTGGCACGTGTGGCTTCAGGAAATCCTTTTATAACCCATCTTTCCTCCTCCCCTCCCCTGCCAGGCTGCGATGACCTGAGGCACAAACTGGACAGCACAAGCTCTCGGAGCATGGCAGCTCACAAGAGTTTAGAAGGCTTCCTGGCTTACGGACAGCTGTATGATCTGTGGTGGAACCTGCCCACAGACTCCCCTGTCTCCAAACAGATGGTGCCAGAGTCTGTGTCTTGCCCTAGTGAGCAGGCAGCTCCTGAACAGAATGCTGTCTCGGGAATCTTTGCAGAAGGAATGGCACCTGAGCTGGAAGAACATCCCCCCAGCATACCTGCTTCCTGCCCTGGGCCCTGTGCAGCTGATTTAGGGGATCCAACAGAGAGGCAGCTGAAAGTGAATAGATGTAAAGTGCTCCTTTCTGAAGAGATTGCTGCTTTACAGAACACCCAGAAAGACATTGCGAAGATCCAGGAGACTCTGGCAGACATGATCCACCAACATCAAAGAAACAGCTTACAGGAGAGCAAGCTGCAACCCAGCCCCAAGAGTGAGTTGGACAAGCCCATCCCCCCAGGCAGCCAGAGCCCAGGGTAAGTTTCCACCATCCTGGAGTGGGTTTAGGACAGCTGCTGCTTTCTCACTTGACAGACGGAGAGCAAAGCTGCTGTTCAGCACAGCCGTGCCCTAGTGTCCAGCTTGGCTTCCCCAGGCCTGCAAACCCCATTGTAAAAACTTCAACCAGTCAACCAACCGGTTATCATCAGCCCTGAATTCTGACTCCACCACACTTATTTCCTGTAGAAGAATAAGTAGCCTTAGGGTAATAGCTAATGCTCTGATTGTGCCTTCTTCATATAGTGCATTTGGAGGGGAGGGGAGGGGAAGGGAAGAGGCAGGCTGGACAGAGGAGTTTCTGTTTCTCTGTTGATAGTAGGGTTCTATTCATCTTTGCGAGGTAAGAGTCATGGGGGTGACATTCTGGCTCTGGTTCTTCTACCTACTCTGCTCTGCTGGTTGGGAGAGTATGCATTGGCTTGGGCAAAGCCACTGTTCATGACCTTTCCATGAATGTTCTCTTGACAGTAAAGCAGCAGCAAAGGAACCGGTTTCTCTTCCTGAGCTGTCAAAGCAGCTGGCAATGGCCAAGCAGCAACTGGCAGAATTTCCCGACAGTCTAAAGGTAAGGTTAAAATGGTTTCAGAAGGAGGTGGCTTTGCAGCTAAGAGTTGCAGAACTGGTAGGCACTGCCTGGGTTATTGCACCCCATTCTTGCTATCACAGGCATCCGCGTCCTATAAAATCCCTCTCCTGCTGTCATTTCTGTGCCAGTGCTGCAAGTTAAGGGCTTCTTGATTTCTCTGCACAGGGAATCAGCAACCTGAATGGGGGTTGGCTCGACTGTTCCTTGCTTTGCTGCTTGGAGACACAGGGACAGAAGCACGGCTTTGTGTCTCAATAGATGCCTGCTTATGTCACTTTAGAGACCATTAATATTGCATGACGGCTGGATAAAACTATTCACAGCCACCCCAAAACCACATAGCAGCTCACCCTGTTCATAATGCAGATTACAGTGAGAGTCTGGTTGGTTAAGGGTAGCTCGGTTTTGGTAGCAATGTTTGCATTATGATCTAGAAAGTGCGTATGGGGAAGCAGTACCAGTGACTTCCCTTGCCAGGAGAGGGGCTGGGACCGTAGAGATGAAATTGGATCATGAGCAGTAATGCACCCCAAAAGAAACCAACACGCCAAAGCCATTTGTCTTGCCCATTTTGTGCCCCTTGGGGTCCTTCCATAGAAGATGGCAGTTGTGAGGCAGGGTATATGCTTAGGAGGGAGAGAAGCTGGCTGGACATAAATCCAGTGCACACTGGAAGAGGGAATGAGTAACATTGCATCCAGACTTGGCTTGCTCATGCTTTATGCCAGTCTAAGCCTTATTTCCAGAGGGGGCCCTGCTCTTCACACTAGCATTTCCAGTTCCCAGCACAAACACAACATGGTAGTTTTTTTGGGTTTTTTTTGGCAGGCCTTCCCATTCCCAGATGTGCTGGAGTGCAGCCTGGTGTTCCTTCACATCCACTCCCAGAGCCACAGCGACGTGAGTCTGGAACTGCAGCAACAGGCCTTGGACCTGCTGCAGAAGTTCACTCAAGATGGGACATATGAAAAGATCTGTGGGAAGTTCTTAACGTGATGTTCCTTTCACACCCGGCCCCCTCCACCGCTGGTAGCTTTACCAAGCCAGGATGGTTCTTCTCTGACCTGAGGAACGGTCTCTACTGCCACCACTGCTTTTTGAAGGACCATTGTTCTGGAAGGAGCACGGATCGTCAAAAGTCAAGCTTACATAGACTTTCACTACCAGCCAGTCAGCTACTTGTGGCCTCATGCGCCTCCATGAGCGATACTGTACCCGTAACAGCAGGAGACATTGGCTTCTGCCTTTAATGTATACAAGATCTTGTTTATATTTAGTTTTTTAATTTCTGGAGAGAGGAAAATTATGCAAGGGAAGCCCTTGGATTTACATACTGAAAACATGGTAAATGGTTTAAACGGCTACAGCTACCTTTTGGCAGTATAGGAGCGTTAGCTGTCATTTAAATAAAAGGCGCAATATGTTTTTTTATTTTAAAGGACTTAATGCTCAAGCCAGTGTTAGGCTGGGGAGTCTGGGAAACTGATTAATGTTTTTTTTGATGTGCAGGAAATTTGTGTTCCTTTAAATAAAAGCCTTATACTTCCAGTCTTGCATTTAATTTGAAAGGAGGGTAGTGATAAAAGTATTTGTTCTCTAGTAAGTGTGAGGCTAGTGTTTTTTAATGTTTTTTAAAGCTACTCTAGGTACTTAAAATATACATGTGGTAGCTGATGTTCATGCCTTGGTTACTTCTAAGTAGGGCAAAGAATTGCTTACGCTCATTGCTCAGTACAGAGCACAACAAACACCTTGTTTTTCATGACAAAGTTTTCACATCCGTCTGCTAGGAAGTGTCAACCTTTCCACATCTGCTGCAGAGGAAACTACTTTTGCTACAGCAGTGGAACTTGGACCATCAGTGTTTCAGGTAGGATGTAAAATGATGGTCTTAATTGTGTGCAGTTGGAGACACTAGCAGTCTTCACAAAATATTAGAAAAATGAACTCGCTAAGGACCGCTTCCATTCTTCATTAAGCAACAGTACAGGTGAAAGCCTGGTTTCTGGAAGGGGTCCTGTTGTTTGGTTTTCCTCATTTGAATTGTCAGCTCCCCCTGGAAGGTGCAAAATGTTGTCATGCCCATAAACTCAGCAGCAGTCTTGAGTTTGCCCAGGTAAAGAGGATAGGAAGCAGAAGTGGGGTGTGCTGGTCACGGTCAAGTAACCCTTGTAAACTGGGCAGAAACCTAGACACAAGCTTTATTTTAAACATAAAGAGGAGAGTGCTGCAGAGCAGAAACTGACAGAAGCTTAGGGCATGGAGAGATCAGAGAGATGGATTTACATATACTACAGGTAAAGCTAAGGCTTTGAAGATGAATAGAATTTGGGAGGAGCATGCACATGTCCTAATCCAACCTGTCATCTGGCCTCAAAGGCAGAGCAAGACAGAAGACCTGATCTATCCTAAAGAAGTGAGATTAAAGAGCATCAAAGCTGCTTTGGCAGAGCAGAAGTAGGTAGGAACATAGTCCTGATTCTGATTAAGGTAAATTGCAGAACAGTTCTCAGACAGCTATCATATAAACCCCTCCAGATGGGCCAGAGAGAACCAGATAGCCAGACTCATCACGTCAAAGTGCCTGCAAACCAGGAGAGGGAGCTATGGCTTTACAAAGCTGTGCATCTCTGTAAGCAGAAGTAGCCTAGGAAGAAGCTAAGCAGAGCTGCTGCAAGCACCAGAAGGTATAAAGATGACCAGCAACAGGGAATTAGCTTTTTATAGTAGCAAGGCTAATTTGAGGCCATACTGCATAAGAACCTAAGGCAAAGGGACTTGACTTGAGCTCTGCCTCGCAAAACATACAGGTGTCCAAATCTCTAATGGGATTTTTCTGCCCAGTTCCTGTGCACTGCCTGGGTATACAGAAGCCAGCAAGCTGAGCATGGCTTCTTATCAAGGTAACAAAGTGGAAGAATGGAGGATGGGAGTATGCCTGCATCTCATCTCTTTCCTAGAGACAGGAATTTAGATTAGAGATTCACAATCCTGAACTGTGATTTTACAGCAGGTTTTCTCCCAAGAGAACTGGATCAGTTAGCTACTCTTACTCCAACAGCTCTACGGAAAGAAACCTTCACATAGGGGATTGTCTTGCACAAACTGCTGGCCTGGTGGACCTGCTAGATGATAGTATAAATAATTTAAAGGATGAGGCTCCATCAACTGATGCATGAATCTCAGTTGCTTCACTAATGTTTAGTTTGGTTAGAATTGGTCTTATTGCATTTGCCTGTAGAGTAAAACTGCAAGTGAAATTAGCCACTTCATGACCTGTGTTGGTCACAGAGAGGTCAGCAGCTCAGCTTCAGAGCTGGTGCTTTGTAGAAGGACCAGAAACGGCCTGGTTAAAAAAAAAAACCAACCTTTATTTTACAAAATTAAAAACATAGTATTTACAAGCATTTTAATTACCAGTTTAACATCAATCAAGAATCATTTAAGCTTGTTAAAATGCAAGACTTAAAATGAGAGGTTTAATTTGCTGTTCAAAAGAGGTTTTTTCTTATAGAAACATATTTCAGAGCTGTTCAAAAATAATGTGTATTATTAGAATGTCTAGTCAAAAATCGAACTCCTGAGCCTTCAATCTCCACTCTTTAGGATACTCCTCAAATCTTTACAAAGGGAGACGCAGTGGCTTTGAGGCCTGTTTAAACATCACTCCAATATGAAAGTAAATATAATTATTTGCCTAGTAAACTACTCCTACATACTGAAGTGAGATGAACAAGATCTTCTGCATCATCAAGTGAAACTGAGTGGCTTCAATTGTTTTGGTCCAAATTCCTGTTACAAAATCTCTAGAAGGCAAGCTTCCAGGCTGGTTCATCTACTCAGCAGTTTATTCTGTTCATAACTATGAGAATTAAAATGAGGCTTAGTGGTGTGACACACTTGTATTGCACAACAGTCCCAAAGGACCCTGTACAGCACAGCTGTGCAAAACACCCATCCTGGCCAGAGGCAAGACAGCTTGAGCTGAACACCTGCTGCAGAGAAGGTGTTTTGCTTTGTTCCCCATGCTCTGCCGTGAATGAGAGGGTCATTACATAAATGACACAGAGGGATAAAAGTGAGCAAAAGATGAGGAGCAGACATCACCTCACAGCATGCACAAGAAATTTTAAAATAAGCTTCCTAAAGGACCCTGCAAGGTTGCTGTGTCCAATTTCACTGGCATTTCAGAACTTCAGCTCTGCTGAATGTTCTCCATTTAAGTCTTCCTTGCAGATTCGGTATTTAAAAAAAAAAAAGAAAAAAAAAAGAGGAGGTATACACATTTAGATTCTCTCTCTTGCCCTTGGTATTAAAAAGATGGCAAACCACCAATGCTGGTATTGTTATGAATTCAGAACTCCCTTTTAGGTTTGAAATGAAGATGCTTTTTTTCCCCCTTCATCAAAACTCTAGTCTTTCTGCCAAATGCATGCGGTAGATGCCCTTTGTTTGACAGAATTGGAAAAGTTTCTGACAGCAGTTGCTGTTCTGGGACCATGTCCTGCTGACGGGTCTCCATTTCTCACTGCTGCATGTTGTTGATAATGGCGAGAATGCTCATCTTCTCTTGAGCCGATTCCACGTCCTCACTTTGCTTCTGTGCCACTCCTGTGCCAAGGCCGTACAGCCGGCCACAGTACTTTGCATCATCAATTGAATCCTCAAAGAACAACTGCAAGGGAGGGGAAAAATTTCTTTTTATTTACTGATTTCTCCCTTTTTTAGCGTGCATTTGTAAATCAGTTTAACCTCATATGCATACAGCTTTGTTTAAATGCAGCAGCTTCAGCAGTGGAAGGTGGCAATTAGCAACAGGGGAAGAGAACTCAGGGGGCTCATTTTTTGAAGCTTAAAGGGCTGGCACAAGACTCCAAAAAATCAAAAGGCCAGGAGGTGTGTGTGGGGACAGTGGGTAGGGAAGAGAACAGACAAGCCATAGCCTGGGTTCTCCCTCCAATTTTGCAGCTGGAAAGAGGAAAGCAATTCATGGATACCTCTTTCATCCTGAAGAAGGCCATTCCCGTGAGCAGTGAGTCTGATCCTGCCTGATGCTGTCGTCCAATTCGTTGCAAATCCAGCTGATCTGCAACTTCTTGAAGACCTCCCTGAAAAGGGAGGGAAAAAATTATTTTTATCACCTGGAATCTGCCCCTACGAAGGCTACCAGGCAGCATGCTTCCTTTAGCTAAGTCATATCAACATCAAGTGAAAATGCCGATTGACATCTTTAAGCAGTAAAGAGCATACTTGGTTTCAGCCAGCTTTTGAAAAAGCTGCCCCCTGAAGCAGAAGTTCTTATGAATGCTTCTTAACTGACCAGTCAACAGATTAGAGGAAATGGAACAAATTTATCTTCTCCTGGTGACACACAGCTAAAACCAAAGTAATTGGACTGTGCCCCCTATACACAGATACAAATGTCAAAATACTGTACAACTATGATCCATCCTACATTTGAGCTTTTGTGTACAAGATGTGATAAAACAGTGGAAATCCCACTTGCTAATGCAATCTAGTTACTGATAAGAAGTAAATACCTTAAGGTTTTTACAGCTCTTCATTAGGTACTTGACATCATAGATGGATGGGAAGAAAAGGTTCAAAATATGAAAGAATTCATGTTCCTCCTCAGGGAGTCTGGAGTCTGTCAGCAATTTCACCATGTAGCCAAAATCATAGCCACTGACAAAAGAGTGGTACAAAGTCTATTAAATAAGCAGCAGAAATAGCCAAAGGCATAACATTTTCTTTATATCAGAGTTGTTATTAACCAGATCCTAGCATTCATGCTGCTCACCTTGAGGCAGAACCTCTGCTTGCCTCATCTATACTACAGTTTCACAAGGTAAGCTAAAATAAAAATAGCTAGACTGTTGGGGGCAGGGGGGATGAAACAAATGCCTTTCTTCCACATAGATATTTTCTCAGTGACTAGAGGAATTTTTAACGTGTAAGAGAGAAAAAAGGAGCTAATCTTACAGACCTACCCTTTGCTGCTTCTTACCTCAACTTGGGATGGTTTCGGGGGGAAGCAACTATGCATTCAAATAACTCAGGAGATAAGCAAGCCTCACCTTCAAGCCCTCTTTCTCTGAACAGTAGTTATGTTCAAAGCAAAGTTCATGAGAGAAAGAAGCAGTATTGTCTGGTACAAGGAAACAAACCCCTTATGTCCCAGGGTACTTAAGTTTAATAAACTCCTCCTTATGTTTTCACTTCTGTTTTCTGTTAACATCTCCTGTTCGCAAGCATGGAATATACCCAGGTTTAGGGCAAAGGAAGTGGTACCAAACCACCTGCATGTGTTGCACTCTCCATTTACTTAGTTAAATAACCAAACCTACAAAGATATAAATTCACCCTTTAAAAGCTGGACTTGTGCCTCCAAGAATAAAGACGAGAGGGATCTTATTGACAAGAGAATTGCTATTCATTTTCCAGCCCCAACATTCCTTGCATTCCTCTTGGACACACCTGTGAAACGAGAGCCATTTAACATTGTCGCTGAGGACCACCCCTGAGGTCATGAGCAGCTCTGCGAAGTGCAGGGTATCGATGCCTTCCTCCTCATGCTTCTGGAACTGCAGCCCAGAATTTGCCAGGAGATCTATGGAATCCTGTGAGTACATGTCCTCCCTAAAAGGAAATGGGAGCTTCACATCAGGTGGGCTGGTCAGGTAGGCTCATGCCCAACAAGAAGGATCCCCTTCCTTTCCCCCCTCCCCAGTTTTGTATTTCAAAACACAAGTACAGTGACCAACAAAAGCGTCACCAGGCCCTATAGTTCTGGTCTTTCAGTGACCTGGAGATCATATTGAATTACAGATGAAAAAGTTCTTCTAATTGCCAACTTCAACCAAGCAAACTTTTGCCCATTGTTCTCCCGTTGACAGTAACTTTGTTAATGATTATGCTGTTGACATGCAAAGCATTCACCTAAATGTGGATGCCAGACCATTTAAGAACGTTTTTGGGTCACTCGTTCTGTGGTTCAGAAGACTTACGTTAGATTGAATTTGAAATTGAACTGCCATGTGTTGATCCCAGAAGGATACTCTCCTTTCTCATTCGTGAAGGTTAAGCCCAGCTGGATAATTTTCAGGAGGTCTACATTACACCGGAGGAGCTGATACTGGTAATCAATGGAGCTGCGAAATTCACCAATTGGCCTCACCACAACTCCTGGAAACTCTGTGTCCTAGAAAAGAAACACGGGTGAAGGGAAACTCTCCTAAGTTAGCAAAGTTGCACGTTCTGGTTGACCTAGAACCCTAAAAACTGCAACAGCCACCTTTTCTATAAAATGATAAATTTAAGAATAATTTTGCTTTATCTGCTTTTTTTTTCCCCAACAGTACTTGAAATAACCAAGAAACCTGAAATTCATACTGCTTACTTATTTCTTTATACAACTAGGGTAAATGAACAAAGTTTAGAAAACATAAAGAAAATCTGCAATTGCATACTGTTTCTATTTCATCCCCAATTTCCAGAGGGGGAGAAAAAAGCATCTTTCTGTGGCCATGTAGTTTGCTAGCACCTGCCACCCTTTAATTATATTTGGCACCCTTTTTCACATTTTATTATGCAAAAGTATAATACACCTGGTCATTCATAGTGCACAGCCATAGATAGCTAGGAGATTATTACCCTCCCCCCCCCCTTGGGTAATAACCTCTTCATCCTTCCAATAACTACAGAAGTATCTATTTTATAGCCATCAATTCATACAGTTCTAAACACTGGTTTAAAAGAACAACAATGTGGTTTTGTTTGTAGGGTGATATTCCAGGTTATGGCAGATTAGCATTGTTTTTTGAAAAACGTTCACTCTAAACTAGCTAGTAATTTATACAGTATCAAAGTGTAAAGAGGCTCCTTAATAACAGAGAAAACATTTAATATAAAGCATATTAGTTAGCCAATAATTGCACATGTTGTCTTTGCTATTACATCAAATTCCTACGGTTTCTTGCTCAGAGATGTTCATCTACCTGCTATCCACTAGTCTTACCAAGGAGCATATAAAAGAGATGAATCTTTCTTTGCATATCTGCAAAAATCTCTCCGCAGCCCAACCTTTCCTCCGTCTGATCCTACAGTGTCAGTCAAGCGTATGTGACTTCAGACTAGCTACAGAAATGTAGTGCCAAGTAGTCATCCTAACTGCAAGATCAAATAGAAAGATATGCTGGTGGGGGACGTAGAAGCTCCTGTTTCAGCACATAGGATCCAGAGGTGTGAGAGTTTCAGCAGGGATGGAATCCATTCATATTTACCTAGTCACATAATGGGTGCCACTAAGAATTGGCTTTTTTAGACACCACAGCATTTGCAGAAGGACCCACATTTAAAAGAAAGGGGGTTAAAATACACTGCTCTTCGTAACAGCCTAGCTTTTCAGTGGCACCCAATGCGTATACACACACCCCTGCACACAATTTGCAAGGGACTTTAGCTTATTTGATATTTAGAATCATTAAGTACAGGTCAGCTTTATTATTTAATTATAACTAAATGTAATTAATGATCAAATATGGCATGAAGCAAGGAAATCCAAGATTTATATTTAATTAGTTTTGAAATGTTTTCCCCGCTCCCACCCCCACACACGAGGAATTCCATCTCAACAAGATTCTCGGAAATTTTAAATAAATGCATCTATCGGAACAAGTCGATGTGATATTTGAGGCCAAATTATCCTCCACTCTGAGGCTGTAGTGACTGACCATTCATTATGAAGCAGTCCTATTAGCTAACGAGTTGCGACTTGCATGCCTTTTGCCATATGCCAGCAAGAAATTTCTCTCAGCCAAATCGGCTGTGTCATTCAAGCTAGCTAAATCAAAATGTTTATGACCAAATGACCATCTTGTTATTTTAATTCTCTCTCATACAAACAAAGTAATACAATCCCTGTCATTAAGTATAATAGATCTCATCTGCTTAGGATTGCCTGCCCTGTGAAATTATGCAGGTATGTAATGAAGCATAAAGCTATCTGTATAAATCTTAAGAAAGTCTATATATTAAAAACCCAGCCAAGTGTTGAATGCTAACTAGTTTCCCAACTGTTTGCTCCGCGTACTATTGGGCTCATGCTGACCTGGGAAAACAAACATTTTTTTTTGTCTTGAGTGACCTACCCCACTGAAATCCCTTTACTTCGACAGCTTAAATGGTCATTAAAAAGCACCATATTCTTACCATGGCGATGTATCTGTAACTGAGAACAATTTCTCGAATTTTCCTCATCTCTTCTTCCAGATTGTTTGCCCATACTTCACAGATAACCTGGCTGTTCTCTGCAAGTGCTGCTGGCATCTTGCAGGAATTGGAATAGAAGCACCCAATGGCGTGTCTGGGTGGTCAGTACTGTGGTGTGGAGCTGCCAGCTCTGTGGCTCAGTCAGCACACTGCAAGAAATGCAAACTCACATTTATATCCACACTGCTCCACAAGTCAGGACATGCTGGCAGACACAACCAGTCAAGTTTCTGCCTTGCGGTGTCAGTTCAGCTGAAATGTCTGAATTAACACATTCTTTCTTGCTTCTAATACGTCCTTAAAACAGGCAGTCAAGGGACAAAGAAAAGGGAAACAATTCTTAGTTAGCAAAAAGGTACCCAGACTACCAACTTCAGCTGAGACAAGCCAATGTTTCTCCTCCTTTTAGGTCTGCACTTTTAAGCATAGGGCTTGTCTGCACACATCATTTGGCAACAATTTAATTGCGTAAAGTTTTGCAACATTTTTGTTCAGCTGCTTCAGGAAACTTAAAGTAGTAAGATGTGTGCTGTCATCTGCAACTCACCACAGCCTGGTCTAGCTGCTCTGGAGAAAGCTTAATAGAAATCAGAGAGAAGTGGGGCTGGATGGGACCTCCCAAGGTCATCCTGTCCGACCCCCTGCCCGAGGGAGGGTCATCCTTCACAGTCTGAGGAATAAGCTCCCTCCAGACACGGTGCAATCAACTACCCCGGAAATCTTCCAGAGGAGACTGGACGGTCACCTTGCTGGGGTCACCTGACCCCCACTCATCTCTCCTACTGGGTGCAAGGGGCTGCACCCGATGATCTTCCAAGGTTCCTTTCACCCCTAACATCTATGAATCCTTCTGCAAACCACGCCAATTTGTGCAACCCTCTCTGAACCATGCTGCACCATGCCAATTAGTGCAACCCTCTGCAAACCATACCACACCATGCCAATTATAGTGCATCCTTCTGTCTGAGGCATGGTTTGGAGAGGGATGATCATGCCGCACCATGCCGATTAGTGCATCCCTCTGCAAACCATGCCGCACCATGCCGATTAGTGCATCCCTCTGCAAACCATGCCGCACCATGCCGATTGTAGTGCATCCTTCTGTGTGAGGCATGGTTTGGAGAGGGATGATCCTGCCACACCATGCCGATTAGTGCATCCCTCTGCAAACCAGGCCGATTACTACATCCCTCTGCAAACCATGCCGCACCATGCCGATCACTGCATCCTTCTCCGCACCATGCCGATTAGTGCATCCCCCTGCAAACCATGCCGCACCATGCCGATTAGTGCATCCCCCTGCAAACCATGCCGCACCATGCCGATTATAGTGCACCCTTCTGTCTGAGGCATGGTTTGGAGACGGATAATCCTGCCACACCATGCCGATTAGTGCATCCCTCTGCAAACCAGGCCGATTACCGCATCCCTCTGCAAACCAGGCCGCATCATGCCGATTACTGCATCCCTCTGCAAACCATGCCGCATCATGCCGATTACTGCATCCCTCTGCCTGAGACATAGTTTGGAGAGGGATGATCCTCCTTTGGGCAGAGGGATGTGTTCATTGGCATCGTGTGGCATGGTTTGGAGTGGAATGATCATGCCACACAAAGCTGATCAGTCCATCCCTCTGCCTGAGGCAGGACCATCCCTCTCTGAATCATGCCACCCCACACCTATGTCCTACAAATGTAACGAAACTGGCCCAACCTCGCGCATAGACCGAGCAAGACCGGTCGAGCCTTTCTTGTGCTCTGGTGAGAGAGCCAGGTCTCGCCGCACGCATGCAGGCGGGCCGGGTCCATCTGACTGCTAGCTCTCTGCCAATGCGAGACCGAGGGGGTCACAAAGGTTTAAACGCAAGGATTTCTTCTTCACCCAGCGCTGTGGTGGGGTGCATGGGGGAAGCCGAGAGGTCAGTGCATGTTTGGAGGACCAGGGCCGCTAACGAGCACGGGGGGCTTCCAAATCGAAACGTCCCAGCCCTTAAGGGACAGGGGTCGAGTTGCGTCGAGACCAGCAGACGCAACATTCATCACGCAGCCCTCCTCCTCTCGACGGGGCTCCATTAGGAACCGGGTTAACGAGGTCATACGGGGCTCCCCGGTCTTCAAACGGTCCCCGGTGCCTCCTCCACCGAGCCTGGCCCAAAACCCCCCTCCCGCTGCAAGTGGATCAAATTAATCTGGTTTAAGAGCGTTCACACGACCGGGTATTTCGGAGCGAGGCCTCCCCCACTCCCCCCGGCACCTGCTCGCTGCGCGTCAGCTCGGCTCCTTCCCGCTCCCACCGGGCCCGGCGAAGCGAGGGAGGGAGTGAGGGGTAGGCCCCGGGACTGCTCTTCCTGCGGCCGCTCTAGCCCCCCCCCCACTTGTCTGCTCCTTCCCCCACGACTCGTCTGCTCCTCCCCGCCGGGAGGAGAGCGGGCTGGCGGACTTCCGGCGCGAAGTCCCGCCGCCAGCGGAACTTCCTGTTTGCCTCCCACTCTCTCGCGAGAGCCCAAGTTAGCGTGAACTGCGTCAGTTCTTGCAGTCACTGCGCATGCGTCGGAAAGAGCCTCGTGTCGCGACGCCCTGGTCACTTGGAACATGCGCGTGGGGAGGAGGGCAATAATGCTGAAGGACGCATGCGTGAAGTCGGCCCTTCTATTTTTATCCCTCTGCCCCCCTTTCTGACTCTAGTGGACTTTCCCAAGTGTATCTCTCCAGGCGCGGTTAGGAGAGTCTATGACCCCCTTCGGGCGGGGGGGGGAGAAGTGGGAGAGTCCATTCACTTCTATAGGGCGGCTGCTGCACGAGGGGAAAATTAATTCAGATTAAGAGCGTCCACACAGGCAATTCAGTGCTAATCCTGTGCGCTGACGTCAACTCGTTTTCCAGTGGTCTCCATTTTGTGCAGCCCCCTGCTATGTTACATGTATCGCACAGCTCCCTGGCTCTCTGCCCGATAAACGTGGACCGGCCACAAGAGCCAGGCAACGATCGCGCCCCGAACCCGCTCACTGAGACCAGCCGCGCATGCAAAGCGATTGTTGCGCCATCAAAACGACTCTCCAGCTCGAAAAAGACTGACCGGCACTAAGGCACGTGCTCAAAAATTGAAAATGAAGGGGACGTAATGGCTTTTTCTGAGGGTTGATATGGTAAATGCCGAAAAAATGGTCCTCTTCATCCATGAACAGCTATTGCAGGAATCCAGGATCTTTTAATCAACACGAGTTTCCTGACTGGTTCCTTTTTTAAGTGGAAAATGTAATTACAATAACGTCGGCACTTTGCTTCAGTAGGGGACACCTTGGTGTTACTAATCGTTTTCCTTTTATTTGATTAATGCCGGTACTTTGTAAACACAGGCAGTCCTCCGACTTACGACATGATAGGTTCCTAAAAACAGTGTCTTAAGTCAAAACGTTGTAACCCGGAACCCATTTTCTCATAGGAAACAATGTTATAAATGGAGGGTGGGTTTCTGAACCAAGGCCTGGTGCCCTGTTTTCACCAAAAATAACCCAGCATTTTGTACTCAATCAATTATAGATGAGTAACATAGCTACATTAATGTATTTCTATTGTAAATAGCAATCCTGTTGATTTGGAAGGACTTCTTTGAGGTGACTTTGCTGGACTTTTTGAAGGGCTCTTGGCTGGAGTCTTGTCAGGAGTCTTGGCTGCAGGTTTTTCTGGAGTCTTGTCTGCTTTCTTAAAGCATCCAAGCAAGTTTGGACAGATGTTCTCCAGGGAGATGGGCAACGCAGTGAGCTTGTTTGCTGGCGTGGCGTCACATCTGGAACAGGCTGCCAAGAGAAGTGGTACTATCACCTAACTTGGTGGTCTTCAAGAGAAGGCTTGATAGGCATCTGGCTGGGGTCGTCTGACCTCAGTCCTTTTCCTGGCTGGGGCATGGGGTTGGACACGATGATCCTTCAGGGTCCCTTCCGACTCTATAATCTATGAATCAGATCAAGCCTTGTAAAGTCGAAACTGATGTCATAAAGTTGAAACGGGGTCAATTTAGAAACGTTGTAAGTGCAAAACGTAACTTGAAATGTTGTAAGTCGAGGACTGCCTGTACTTCAAAAATCATTTTAAAAAGAATACTTTTTTAAATGGCATCAGTTGAAGGACTGATGACGGCAGCCAACTAAGACTGGAAGAGGGCCAACGTGGTTCCCATCTTCAAAAAAGGGAGGAAGGAGGACCCAGGAAGCTATAAACCAATCAGTCTTACCTCAATCCTGGGTAAGGTTTCTGAGAGAATTATGCTGGCACATGTCCACAAGGGACCAGTGGGGGAGATTATGCTTAGGGGCAACCAACACAGGTTCATTAAAAGCAGGTCCTGTCAAACCAACCTGGTGGCTTTTTACTACCAGGTCACCAAATCCTTAGATGCAGGGGTAGCAGTGAACATAGTCTTCCTGGACTTTCGGAAGGCCTTTGACACTGTTCTCACCCTGTTCTCATTAAGAAACTGGGGGACTGTGATGTCAACACCCACACAGTCAGATGTGTCGCCAAGTGGCTGGAGGGCCGCACCCAGGGAGTGGTGGTGGACGGGTCATTTTCGACCTGGAGGGCTGTGGGGAGTGGGGTCCCCCAAGGCTCGGTCCTCGGGCCTGCACTGTTCAACATCGTCATCAGTGACTTGGACGAGGGGGTAAAAAGCACCCTGTTCAAATTTGCTGATGACAGTAAAATGTGGGG